GATAGGCCAGGAACAGTCTAGAAGGACCAACGCCTTATAATAGGCTGTAGTGAACATACTGATTCATTCCGTTGTCTCTGTACCGTCTGGAATAAAGGCCTGCTATCAGAACCGCTCTCTTGGTCTCTTCTGCCTACAAGTCAGGTCGGAATAAACTGGGCTATAACGCTGGAGGAAGACGGTTTGATCCCATGCGGAGCATAAGTTGTCAGAATAGCCAATGATCCACAAGAGGTTTTCTAATGTTTAAATCTGTCTCCGTTATTTACTCCATAACATCAGTTCGCCTACCTTTCCCCTCGGAAGAATGCATCTACAAGGCGACACCTTTGAGATTAAAGCTTATTACGCGGAAGATTGGCACCATTGCTATTGGAGGAGACCGTTTACCTAAGTGACACTAACTAGCTACCCCTTAGACCTTTACGGTTACTGTTAAAGGACCCAGTCATGTTAATGCCTTCTAGAAGTTTTTCTTGCCAAGTCGATTTTTCCAGCGACAGCCCTCAACAGCACGAGGTTGCTGGTTGTATTTCATGGGCCCATGGCCTGTCCCGATTATATGAAATTGCTTATAAACCTCTAACAGTTGTACTTACCGAGCAGTGTGTAACGAGATGGATGCGGTCCTTGGGATAGGTCAGGGCAGCAATACGTTGGAAGAAACGCTCCAAAAATGGCGTTGGTCGGGAGACGAATATATTCATTTGGATGATGGGATACATTGACTTCTGCAAGTAAATGCATAGTAAAAGATCTAAATTTAATTATCAAGTTAGCCTTGACCTAATTTAGTACCTGCACTTCATGGTCTAAAATTCAAGCCCAAATGGGTTCATTTGTTAACTCATAACGACTCGACTAGGGTCATAACGCGTTCAAGTGCTTTTCAGATTAGCAGGGAAGGTAACTGATAAGGACTCCTACACTGTTCTGCCATTTACGCATTGTATACTTCAGTTGGTAAAAACTAGAACCACAAATCTATGCAGGAGCAAGTCAGCCAAGATGAGCAGGCCTAATAAATGAAAAGATGACTTACCGGGAGATTTAAGATATCAAGAATATCTTCATCACAGATCTGGCACCCGGTCTCTGGCGACCATGCTCGTGCAAGGTAGTTCCCCAATGAATTAAGATGACGCTGAAAAGAAAGAAAACTATGAATATTGTAACACAAGAGCGAACACTATTCGCGGGAAATCAGTCTTAGTTCTTGAACGAAAGCTTTGCATGCTGACCCGGCTACTTAACCCTTAGTAAACAGCGGCCCTAAGTCCGAATGGAAGACGATTAAGATGTTTAGAATACAGTAGGTGTATGTGGATCGGCCTTTAATCGATAACGGTATATTCATTATTTAGGACTGTTCAGACACGAACGTCGCTCAACAACCTTTCATGTGGCGCAACCCTATAATACCTTCGAATTTCCTCTACTGTTAATATTCGCTCTGAGTTTCTTTATGAGACTGAAATTTCGAATTTCTGTCCTAAGGTTCAGTTGACACACACACAGAGGAGAAAAATGCACTGCAGGGCGTTTGCTAAGTTCATTCTTTGTTCTTATGCAATCAGTACCGGGAAATCTTTAAAGAACTGAGAAGCTTCAAGTCAACCAGTCAACCAATCAAGTATTTCCTCTCTGAAGTAGTTCTTAAATCTAACTGGTCAATTGATGCAAAAGTTGAAGCCGACTTTTTTGCTTAATTCTGCAGAAATGCAGTTACTGTGCGGGAAATTTCAGTAAACTGTGATTAGCAGAGAAGTTTGAACGTCGAGCGAGTCTACGGTAGGATTATGATTAGGTTGGCTCGAAAGTTAAATCCACCTGAGATTGGCTCAGGTGGCCTTTTTCAAAGCCGACGATCCGCGCTCGAGGATCTTCCGAATGTGTACTATTCGCTTTCCCAGATCCCCCATTCTTCCACATTGACCCTTTGTCCATACAAGTACTTTTGGAGTTATGGCAGGCAAGTAGCCCTTGTTGGATCCGGAACCCCGCCGGGTGGGCCTCAATCCCGGCGGCGAGGAGAAGGAGGAGGAGGAGGAGTCGGAGAAGCATAGTCAGGAGGGCTGCTCTGTCATAAAAAAACAGGTGGAGAGGAGGAGAGATGATCCACCATAGGGAGGTTTGGTGTAGCAGACCTTGGCCGCCCTGAGGGCGGGTGAGAACGCGGTCGAAGACGCGTCTGCTGTGGTTCCCACTTTTTTTGGAGTTATAGACCACACCGGTTGTCGCGATCATGTTCTTTATTAAGCCACGATCAGTATATACTTGAACGTCATTACTTTATGACCGGATGTTCTGGTTCGCTCTTAACTTCTCCTGTAGCTGTCGCCTGCGTCTGATCAATATAGTTTTATTTGAGAGAGCGTTCTGCTTTTTCCCCCGGATTGGTAAAATTTGTGTTCCTTATAGACCAAATAACAGTTATGTTTTATCGTCCTCTTTGCAACAAACTCAATGTTGTTGACAGGTTGGCCTTGCGATATTCAGCCCATTCGGTGTTCACTTCCTCCAGCCGACGCCTCCTCAATTAACATCGCCCAGATGAACCGACGCTGACGTA